AAGGAACTGGATTTAGTTCTATGACAGTGATAAACACAAGGGGCCACAGAAAACACAAATGAGGGCCACCTGGCCTAGAGTGGGGAGGGGGTGGGGGTGGGGTGGGTACAGTTTGGTGATCATGCATCTGGAACTAACTCCTTTGCTCCTTCAAGCTGCCGCCACATCCACCGTGCAGGGCGTGGACACCTAATGTTAGAGCAACCCGCTGGGGCATACTCACCACTCACGGCCTTGACTCAGAACTGCCCTCCTCAATCTCCTTCTTGCTCTTGGCCCAGACTTGCTTTGAACCGTCCAGTTCTTGCTGTTCTTTCTTGCATTCTTGGTCTTTGATTCATCATTTGCTGGGCACTGCTATTTCATTGGCTGTGACCTGGGCTCCTTTGAACCCGAATCGTTGTCCTCCGTCTTGGCATTGCAGCCTCTCCCACTTGGAATCAGCTCCAGGGCCCTCCACCCAAGCTCTCCCGGCAGTCTGGGCCCCACAGGTGTGAACCTGACATTTGGCACCCCGCAGGGCCCCAGCTTTAGATGAGGTTTCTATCCTGGGTGGATCAACGGGCCTAGAGAAAGTCAAGGCATATGTTAAATAGTGCCGTGAACTGAATCCCTGAGAGGCGTATTTACATGATATGGGAACTGCTTGGCTGACACACGCTGTGAGCATCTCATTAGCACCTGGTGGAAGGACTGGGATAAATTAACTCCAGCTCACTGCTGACGATGAGACCATGTCTCTCCCTCCACCATCCATAGGTGCCATGGGAGTGAGGGGTAGTGAAGGATCTGCCCCACTGGCAGAGAGAAATATGGAGACCCAGTGGTCACAGTTAATGGGGGTGAAGGTGGGAGGGAGCTTGGAGATGGGAAAATACCGGTGGACACCTCACTGCCTTCCCAGCCCATGGACCAAGTATCCTCAGTCTTGCTTGATATTGAATGTCACCACATCAGTGGTGGAAATCTTTCTGCAGAGGTGGCTGCTGGGCAATGCCAGTGCCAGGCCCAGGTGCGAAACAGGTGCAGGCCTCCACATAGTCAATGCTGTGCTCTCTGAGGATGGGGAATAGGGCCGGGGCAGGAGGAAAATGCCCCGCTTCCAGTTCAGATGGAGACTTTCCCTGCCCTCTCTACCCTCAAAGCTGAGAACCCCCATTTACCTGCCCACCACATCTCTCTCCACCCTAGCCTGCCATCACATTGATTGCTTTAAAATCGGTTACTACATCTCTTACGGGTGTCAGGCCCTGCATATCGGGCCATGGTAGGCTGCACTAATTAATTTATTTTATTTCATTTCACATCCTTTGACTGAGGGCCTCTGGAGCGGGGGTATGCAGATGTATGCAAATCACATGCAAATTGCCCACTGGAGCCAAATACTTGGGCCCTTTCGCTTCTATAGCTGGCTGAGGGAGCAGCTCAGCTGACTTGGGACTCTCCTTGGGACCAGGGGAGCCCCGCGTGCCCTCTCTATGGACAGAAAGGAATTCCAAGGAAGTGGCTCCATGCTGCCAGTTTTCTCTTTGCCTGCTGTCACTCTGGCCTTCCCTCCCCATCGCCCCTTTTCCTGAGGAGCCAGCTGAATGGAGAGAGATAAGAGCTTACCAAGATGGGGGCTCCCCAAGCCAAGGCTGGGACAGGGCTTCTGGAGGGAGGGGGAGAAGCAGCAACGGGGGCCCCAGGCTCCTTCCTCAGCCAGACGTCCCCCCAGAACAGACCCCCGGCTTTATCCTCCCATCTTTGTGTGCCCGCCGCCACCCACCCCCCTCAGCCACCCCCACCAAACAGGGAGCTGCCAGCATTGTTTGTTTTCTGTATGTGTGCTGGCTTCCCAAGCTTCCTTTGCCCATCCTCTGTGAATGAGCTTACAGAGCCCAGCTTGGAAGGAAATGAATAGATTACACAGGCCCAGCCAGGGCTGTGTCTACAATCCCTTTAGAAGGGAAAAGCAGGGCATTGTGATGAGGCCGCCTCTGCCCGCTCAGCCCAGTGGGCACAAAATGGCCCAAAACATGTGTAAAGCCCAGTGGCCTCCCCTCTGGTCCTAAAGACATTATCTTAGCAATGGGGTCATCCTGGGCTTTCAGAAATGCAGTGAATGGACTGGATTCTTTGGGTAGATTGGGGGAGCTGATGAAATTGTCTGAAGCAAAAGGGATTAGCCCTTGGGGTTAACAAGACTTCTGGCTGAATGTTTGGGAAGCTCTTGCCTTGTGGATCCCTTAGGGGTAGGGTGGGGGTAGGAGATAGGAGGAGGTGGCCAAGGCCTGTACCCTGGATACTTTGCCCCAGGGTCTGGCCAATTTGTAGAAGAAGATGCCAAAACCAGACAATAGACTCAAGAAACTGTGTGTGATCAGAGCCCCTGGGTCTGTGCCATCTAATAGGGTAACCACCAGTCACATGTGCCTATTTAAATTTAAATTAAATCAAACATTTATTTCCTCAGTCAGACTAGCCACATTTCAAGAGCTTACCAGCCACATATAGTCAGTGGCTACCATATTGGACAGAGCACCAGGTATAGAACATTCCTATTGTCACAGAAAGTTCTATTGGACAGCCTGCTGTGGATGTGTGAAATTTTTTCTGTGGCCTCTGGAATATACAGTACTTTCGTGACAAGGGAATAACAGACACTGTTCATCGAGCAGGCATTCCAGGCAAACTCACTCCAAAGTGATTTTCAGAAGAATGAATTTTATTTGTTTTGTAATCTGCCATTATTAGACTGTGGGGAGTGGGAAGTGGGAAAAGGGATCATCGTTGTCAAAAGGCTTCTTTGAAAACATAGAGAAGATGTCAAGAGAGTTGCCAGGCCCCTGAGATGCTGGGCATCATAATTGTCTATCAAAGCTTCAGGATGCCTCACAGCCCGTTTCCTCATCGCCCCATGGATCCCCACTGTTGCATGGGTTTCTCTCCCAGATTTGAGTTTCCCAGGCTCTATCTTCGCAGCTCGGGCACTCAGCTTTCCTTTTTTCCTGGAAATAAACAGTGGCTAATAGAGTAGAGGTGCAATTCCATAGTTGGCCAGTAGGAGGCTGTCACCTAACAACCAAACTATCCCAGTGTTCAAGTCAGGACTCAGTTCTAGAAAATAAATGATAAATAATATCCTTTAGTTAATCATTTCTGTGCATTTGTGCCTACAATTGTGGACTCATTTAGTAATGCTGCTACTACTAATCTGAGTGGCTAACATAATTGAGCCTTTACTCAGGCCAGGCACTGGATCAGATGCTTCACATAACATGACTACATCTCATTTTCATGTTGGCAATGTGAGGCAGGTAATATTGTTAAGCCTATTTCTCAGATGAAGAAACTGAGGCCATCCAAAGAGACTCTGTCTCAGCTCATATTGCCTTCCTTGTCTTCTCCAGAAAGTTCTAGACACTCCCTCCTCCATAATTCCTCTTTGTGGGTCTCTACTCCAGATCTTAGTTCATTATCAAAACACCTGTCTGTCCAGTGGGCCGTGAGCATCTCAAGCACGAAGGCCAC